CACCTCCGGGGCAGGCGGGGATCGAACTCATGCGGAAGTGGCTTTGACTTCTTAGTGCTGTGCTTTAACCCGCTGCGCCACCAGGGAGGGCCTAAGATGGACCGTTTTTGCTGTCAGAGTCTTGTGTCCGGAAATCCCAGCTCAGATCAGCTGGGCTGTCTTCATCTCTGCTCTGGCAGTGTCTCTGCTGGGAAACTAACCTGCACTCAGCTTTGCTATGAGAAGCTATGGGAGGAAGCCAGGCGCCCTTCATAAATTCACACAGAGCTCATAGGGACATGCTCAGAGACCCCAAGAGTGAAAGGTAACACCCCTACACTGTGGAGGAGAGAAAAGGGCCCCCAAGGTGAAGGGAGGATCTGTCCGGAAGTCTGCCGGAGGAGGTGAGTGGGCCATTGTCAACAGAGGGAAGTACTGGGCCAGAGGAGGCAACTTGGACCTGGCGCGGGAGCCTGCTGTCTCTCCGGGAGTTGAGACAAGGACGCGGTCCCCTCTGTTCTTGGAAGACCTCAGGAGACCACTGAGGGCCAGCTGACAGCAGTGGTGGGGGCAGCTGGCAAAAGTGCCCTGGGAGCCTTAGGGTGGCATAACCACCTCCAGTCCCAGGGTCTCTGTCTTAAATTTAAGCTTCACTATACCTCCTTTTATCCCGTTACATCTCTTTTTGCATCTTTTTTTGATTTGTTCTTTCTTTTCTCCCTTATAGGACATATTTAAATAGTTTGTATATTATTATACAATCAGACTGAGGTGTCAGGAGAGCATAAACTGAGTCTCTGGCGTGGCCACCAATGAGGATAGCTACCTGGACAGTATTTCAAGTATTTAGGGGCTCTTGTGTTGCCTACGACTGGCGACCTCCCTCTGACACTGCTCAGTTTCCCATTTTCTGCCACTCTGAAGTCCAAGTATTACATTTGTTATTAATCATTTCTTGTTTTCTATTTTTGGTCTATAGCGCACATACTATAAAATTCATCCTCAAATGGGTTTGTGTACATTTTCCAGTTATGGGACCAATCCTATCAGCTTCTGAGCGTCATCACCCCAAAAAGCAACCTCATGCCATGGGCTATAGAGAAATCAAACAAAGGGTCAAAGACAAACTATAAAACCAGCCCTTGAAAGGAGCCGTAGATCTGAGGCATCTAGGAAAGGAGCGGAAGTTTGGGGAGGGGACGCCCACAATTGGCTATGGTGGGGGACTGTGGGTGCTATGGTGGTGGACAGAGATGCTGAACACACCTTGGGGGATCCCATAATGTCAGAAGGTTACAAGTATGGTACTTTATGAAAAGCAACAATGGTACTTCACTAAAAAATAAAGACCCACTAGCCCTCCCTCTCGCCTTTGTTTTCTCTATAATATAAACTTTGTAACCCTAAATAATCTCCAGTCACTACCTTCATGCACCTACTTTTATGTAAACAAGTCTTCACACGTGTAAGGTAAGGCGTTTTGCTAACACCAAAGAGAAAGGCAGTTCACTCCCGTCTCTCCTTTCTAGATGACATCGTAGTGACCTTAGTCACGCTCTCCCTTCTCTCCTGATCACTGTCTTTCCACTTTTTCTTTTTGCCACTTTCACTGCTAGTGCCTTTCTGCCTGACACCTTCCCTCATAAGCCTATGCCTTTGTTCAATTCTGAGCACCACAATTGCCATTAATGTACCATATCCGAGGCAGACAGGGATTGTTACCTGCTGTTGCTGTCAGCAACTGCCATCAGTGGGTGCTTGCTACTTGGGGAGCGTGGTGCCATGCAGCTCCCTGCACAGGGGATCCTCACCGCAGTCCTGCAAGTCCTGCAGGGAAGACACCATTATCCCAATTTTACCCAGAAGCCAACGGTCTCAGACTGATTAAGTACCTTGTGTAAGGTTATTCAGCCAGACGGCACCAAAGTGAAGATTCTAGACCCAGTTTAATTCCAAATGGAGTTCCATTATGGAGGAAGCTAAGGTCTCATCAGAGAAGAAAAAGCTTTCAACTTAAAGATCAAATAAAAATCTGTGTGATGGCAAACATCTTAATTGGTGCCTAGAGGAAGACTAAACAAAATAAAGAATGATCATCCTTGGTTGTCTATTGGGGCTTGCTAATACTTCCACCAGGCACCTTGCTAAGAACAAAGACATGTGGTGGGCTGGGGCAGGCTCACATTCCACCAGCGAGCTCCTGGTTATCACATTTTCCAGGAGTTTTTTTCAGATAAATATTAAACCACCGGTACCTTAGATCAGCCATGGCAGGAGTGTTTATACCTTGGCAGTTGGTGAACTTCAAATAAGGCTCTGGTGCCCCATTACCAGCTGGTTGTTTACAATTTCCCAGCATCCTTTCCATGCGCCACAACTATGTACTACTTACTGCCTTTCCTTGTTGATGAAGATATTAAGGGAAGGAAAGCTTAAACAACATGCTTTCTGTGTAGGTGAGCAGCCTGGAGCTGATATTTGAGCCCCGCAGGCGGGAGCAGAGGCTGTGTACCTATCAGCCCATCCAGGAAGGTGAAGCCACTGGGTCAGTACCTCTGCGTGGTGGAGCGTTTTGCTGACAGCCTCTCTCCGGGTCTGGCGAGCAGTTACCTCTGCTCTAGTCGCCCCGCGGGTGAAAAGGCTGACATGGATGACGGGGGCGGAGAGGGTTCCCAGGACTCCCATCCCATGGAGAGGAAGAGCTCATTAACGCTCCCAAGACCCTGGGGTCCACAGTCTACAGTTAATCAGTCATTGTGTGTGTGTGTGTGTGTGTGTAAGTGTAGGGAGCCAGGGACTACCTAGGGGATAATGCCAGAAGTAGGATCACCCTGCTTGGCAAAAAGTTCACTTGGGCCTCCCTGGTGGCATACTGGGTTCAAGAAGCTCTCGGAAGCCACTGCAACACGAGGTTAATCCCCCACCAGGGAGCTAACCCACATGGTGTGACAGATATCTTCTGACCGCCCGCTGCTCCCCTCAGCAGCGTTTTTCAGTACATTTGCTTTGTGTTTCTGGCGAATCCTCTCACCCACCATGCCTTTGGCCTGTATCCCCAGTTCTGTATGCATAAATAACTACATCTTATTAAAAAAATAAAAAAAGTTCACCCACAGCCTTTTCTGTGAATTGAAGAAGGGGTGATCTCTCTTTCCAGCGTTGCCAGCGTTTCCCAGGGCTTCCAGCCATTTACCTCAGATCTCTGATTTAGCCATCCAGGATCTGTGTTTTAAAAGTTTTAAACTTCCTCTTTTTTCATGTAGTTCTGATAAGTTGTATCACTCTGTGTTATACAGGGACGATAGCGCCCTGGGTGGAAGATGACGTAGGACACAGAGGCAATGCGCATGCGCTGGAGCGGAATCGTCCTGCCTCTGGCTGCTCAGAGTCGGAGCTTGTGGGGTCAGTTACTAAAGGGCATCCTGGCCCTTGCTAGATCCTGATGAATACTAGGTGCATAGGCCTGCCCAGTTGTCATTTCTGTATTCTCTAGATGGAATTGGAAAGCTCATACTGGCAATGGATAATGGATGCAATTAACAACTGATTTGAAAATTCATGAAAAAAAAAACACGTTATTGACACATTTCTATAAAGTAAGCCTCTTCTTAGATCATTGTTCTCCCTGTCAGGCAGTCCCTGTAGCTCTCCCACGACCATAACCCCCGTGATCTGCCACCATAGTTCTTTGTGCTCTCCCCTCCTCTCTTCCTGAACTTTCGTTCTCTCCCTCCCTTGCTGTTTACCTAAAAT